TAGGCAGAATATTCATAATGAATCTAAGTTTCAAATGGACAGCAGCTGCCTGTTGTAGAAACCTACAAACCTAGAGGACGATGTTTTGAAAGTCTTCTGAAACGTCGTCCTCTACATTTGTAGGTTTCTACAACAGGCAGTTGCTGTCCATTTGAAACTTAGATTCATAAAAGCTTCTGTTTGACGTTTTCTGAAATCAACATAGCTGGAGTCTACAGCAATCCTGTTAGGGCTATAACTAATAGCTCATTACTTTGATGCTGATAAAAAAATTAACTATTGCCATCGCAAATTTTTGTGCCTTGGCTTTTTCTCAGGCACTGTAACAATGAGTCTAGACTTAAGTTAATTTTCATTAAAATTAGCATTATTTTGCACACTTGCAGTTCTTATAATATAGACTTGTTACTAAATCGATTTTTCATTGTTTAAAGATAATAATTCTTGTGAGAAAGATGTTTTTCATATAAATGATGTCTAAAACAAGTGAAAATGCAAGTGATTTAACTGTACAAGTAGCAACCTTTTAAGAACTTTTGAAAACAAGCATCTTGTTTATGAGTGTCTTACTTTTTTTGGTCTAAATATCATTATAAATAATTATAAATGTTTAATTTTAATTGAAAGTTTGAAATATTAGTTCTGTTTTTATTTTCATATCAACCTCATTACTAGAAATAAAGATCTAAACTATATGTAAAAATACAAGGTTTTTACTTTGGCTAAGTACTTGTTTTCCTAATAAATAAAATCACTTTTGATTATTCATTTCCATTGGTTACTAAGCCTTTGAGCAACAGTATAGCTATAGTTACAACACTTAAGCCTCCACGTGATCTTTTCTTTGCTGAAACACACATTTTGGGGAGGAAAAGAAATTCATAAAGTTTAATCACATTATAAAACACAAGTGCAATATTTTATGTTTAACTATTATTTTTATGAAAGAGAAGCATGATTCTAATGATCATTTCCCATAGAATGTTTAAAAACCTTCTCACAATGCTCAATGTTTCCAAAATCTTGTCTTGTTGATTTTACATACAATTTTCTTCTTGTTCCATCTCTTCAAAACAACAATACTTTTTGCTATATAGCTTTAATAAGCAAACTTAAAAGCTCACTAAAAATTTTTGAGCATGTTTAATGGGAGAGCAACTGTAAATTTTGAAAAATAAATTGAAATTATCCAAATAAACTAATCAAATATTCAGCTGTAAAAACATTAAATAGTATTTTAAACAAGATAAAAGCATAGATAATTAAGATACACTCAGTGGTGCAAGAAAGTTTGTTTAGTCCATCTAAAGTCTTATTAATTATTATGTTGTTCAGTACAGTAGAAAATATACATTTAATAATCAGCAGTACTTGAATAATTCTTTTTTTTTTTTTTTGCATAACACTATTTTTCTAATTAATGCTCAGGAGCTATTCCTAAAGTGCTGTAAATCCTATATATAAACAACTGTATGATTTGTTGTTGTTTTTTTGCATATTGATGTGGACTATTTTTTGCTACTTATGAAATAGAAGGAAGAAGGAGAGGCTCTAAAGAATTTCTTAAAGTAAATCTTCTTAAAAATATCCGCCCCACCCCCCCATTGGTACAGCGGTATGTCTGCGGACTTACAACGCTAGAAGCCAGGTTTCGATACCCGTGGTGGGCAGAGCACAGATAGCTCATTGTGTAGCTTTGTGCTTAATTGCAAACAAACTTAAAAATATCCATAAAAGTTGTTTAATAAAATTAAACAATATTTCCTTTTTCTTTACATTTAAAAAATGCTCAGTGGAGCTATTCCAAAAGTGGTAAAAATTCTAAGTCTAAGCAACCATATGATTCATTTCTTCCTTTTTTTTTCCTTAATGAAAAATTAAGATAATCAATATACAGACTCTAAGGAAATTACATGTGAAATGGGCAAGTGTGAATACTCTAGAGAACAGTTCATTCAGCATGAACTTTTAAAACACTTAACCCATCTGTTTCACTCGAATTCCAAGCCTTGTAAAATAGGTACGTAACAATTTTGTGAACCAACTTTTCTTACAAGTATATATCCCAGAAGTTTTCTTTTTCATTGCAAATTATCTGATGCCAGTGGAAGATCCAAAGAGACAAGGAAATGAAGGCTAATTTTTAGGATGTATTTGAAGATATTTTTTCTTCGGTTAATTTTTTATTATTCCATTAGTAATGTTGTTGATTTTACTATTTTCTTCTTTGTAGATACACAATGCAGATCAGTTGGCAGACTGGTGTTTGTACAATATATCGGTCAGTTACAACGAGATATGCCGTAAAAGTGTGAAACTATTAAGAACTCTTCACCCAGAAAATCAAGCTTACCTGAACCGAAACAGATGGCCACCAGTATGGTAAGTACATTGTATGTGAAAATTAAATATGTTAGATTCATTAATTTTAGCAAGTTTTTATTACATGTGATAACAGATAATGAAAATTTGAAAGAGAGCATATGTGATTAAATCATAATTACTATTATACAATTTTAATAATTAAAAACAGCACTATAAAGCACATAGTGATCCCAAGTTGTATTTATCAGCATGAGTTCTGGAGGAGCTTACCTATTTCTTTTACATTTATAAGCATTGCATATAACCTTGATTTTCTGTAATTATTCCAAAACAAGAATTCATAAATGCAATGTTCTTTTGACTGGCTGTGAGTATCAAGTTTTAGTAGAAGTTTGGAAAAAGAAACTATTCATGAAAGAGAAACATCAAGTTTTTAATTTATCATAGACTAATAATTTGTTTATACCTACAATCAGCTGTAAAAATGTGATTGTTTTTTACAAAAAAATAAGTTAGTTTTGAAAGTGAAAAGAAAAAAGTCATTGGTAACTGAACTGGACTGGTTGATTTCAATCTTATTGTGTAGTTTCTAGTAGGGAACATCAGCACTGCAAATTATTAAGTTAGAAATAAAGATGGCTGTTATTGATTTATTTCAAATCATACATGTATTTTCTGTTCAAAATCTATATTTTGAAAAGAAAATAACTGTTTCAGTTATTAGAAGATGCTGATCTTAGAAAGTAAGTTAATTCTGAAAATAATGTATTTTATAAATACTGAATATAAATGCAATACATTTGTTTAGTTTTTGTAGTATTTCTCAGAGAGGGAATGGCAAATGTAATGCTTTGTTGGAGGTAGACTGAAAGAAGCAAGACATGATATGAAAATGAGCAAACTAAACACTTTATTTGCAAGATAGATGGAAAGTGAACTGGAACAATGGCAGATTGGTTGATTAGAAAGAACTTGTGCATTATGGTAGATTGAAAGGAAAAAAACTAAAGTTGAAAAAAATAACAAACTATATTTAAATAAAAGTAAACTCAAAGTATACCTTTTATAGAACTAAAACTGTATTTAAAAGCAACTATAAAATTGTTGTTTAGATTACTGTGCATACTAAAAGCATGCACAATCAGCAAGTCTTTCCATATATACAAGACGGCATAAGACACAATACACTTATCCCGTGAAACAGTAAATTGGCCCCTTTACTGAGTTTTTATAAGAAAGGTAACACCTTGAATTGAATTATCTTCCATCTTCAACCAAATCTGTTGCATTTCACATTAGAATTTTAGACAGATTGAAAATTTTGTGAATATGAAATATATTAAAGGAGAGAAAGATAGGTCATATTTGCATACCACATTCTTACTGAGGTGACTAAAACTACTTTTTCATTGTGCTCATACTCACCTCACCTGTATGAGCTTCAAAAAATGTCTCAAACTTGATGTTTATTTTTGATCCTTTTTTCAATGCAAGCAAGTTACAAATGTTTTTTTTATCCCCATCCCAACTTTATTTATCATTATATGTCAATAAAATTAGTATCACAACAAAGTTTTTAATTCAAAATTTAATACTATATATGTTTCAATTTCTTAATTTGAAAGAAAATATTTTATAAAAGTGTCAAATATGTTTTTTGGGGTGTCATATGGCATATCTTCTTGTTTTATTGCTCATTTAGTATTTTATTATGCCTACCATATGATATTTTTAGTGGTTAATGAATTAAAAACTCAAACTTTGGACACCTGCAAGGTAGAATACAAAATAAGAACTTCCCACCCTTTTTTGTTTCACGAGATATCAATATATTTTACAAACCTACAAGGGTAGCCCTGCCCACTACTTGTCTATTCACACCTACTTCTCTTAAATATATATTTATAATCAACAGAAAGAGCACATTCCAAGCTAAATAAATCTGACAGTCATTTATAATTACCTTCAGGGAAAGCTTGTAATTTGACAGGAAATTTTGAAGTCTATTAAGTAAGTTGTTGCTCTGAAATGAAGTTTTTTTAACCCACATATAGCTTAGTTAGAAAGCCAGATAAATTACAGTGGTTTTATGTGTACCAGTAAAGTAATGTGATAATTTTTTGTTTTTTTTTAAATGTGTCTTTGAAATCTACAAGAATGAATCTGTCTTTCCCCTCCACTTGAGAGAATAAACAAGGCTTAGTAAGTACAACATGCTAGTAAAAATCAATTTTGTAGCATTGTAAGTACTAGAAATCCTTCTTTTTCTATATACCATTTATTTATTGTGTTATGTTTTCAGAAAAATAACTAAAAATAAAGTATTTATGGTTATGTAGAATTATATATATATATATATATATACATATATACATGTTCATAAGCACTTTGTACATCTATATCGCAAAATTTCAATCATCCAGGGAAGATAACTAACATTCAAATACCTACCAAGTTTATTAGATCAGCACAGGCTATGTACAGAGCAATATCTTAAACATTTTTTTGCAATTTTATTACCTGAGAAAATTCTCGTTGCAACCACTGTACTATAAACAAGCCAATTAATTCTCTCCCACTGTGTTCTCCGAGCCAGGATTATGATAAACAGTCTAATGACGGGAGTGGTGATTCATTGCATTATGATTGACAGGTTTCTACTTCAGCCACTAACAGAAGTATAAATTCTCAGAGAAAGTAGTTTTGGAACTTCATGGTCAATACTAAAGGGGATAGAACAGTACTACACACTGTATTTCACATTTTTCATTCTAAAATTTTATGATCGTTATGAAGTTGGTCAATTTGACTGCCTTCATTTAGAGATAGAGAAGATAAAAGATAGAATATAAAGCTTTTTTGAAGAAAAAAAAGATATTTATTTAAGAGGCTTTAGAGATTATGCAAATGAAATTAGAAAATTATCAGAAGAAGAAAAGTAATTTTAATTTTAACATGAAAATCACTTTGCATACAGAGCAGTCAACACTAACTGCATATATTCAAGGATAGATATTTATTCAGAATACTTAATTACAAATTCTTTTTTTTGTCTACAAAAGACGTGTAATATTTAGTGAAAGCTTAAAAATTTATGTGAAGATACTCAAAACATGTTAAAAGTTATAGTATAGAAATTTCAATGGTCTATTTGTGGTCATATGGTTGGTGTTATATGCAAAATCAGTAGTGAAAGAGTTAACTCCATGTGCACATGTGGGGCTCAAATTGCACATGCCATAACCTTTTACAGAGTGCCATCCAACATGGTATTATGTGTTTGATGTCAGAGTAATCACCTATTCAGTTTATCCTACTTTGTTGATTTACTGACAATTCATGGTTGAGAAGAGTACGAACCCAATTACACTATATAAATATTCTTAGAAATTGTAGATAAGCATTTTGGTGGTTCTAAGTGTTATTCAAATGCAATATGCAAACTGTACGATGGATAAAAGTATTTTTATTCTTCACATGAACATCATGTTACACTCGTACTTGCCAGGTCTGAGTCAGACTATGTTGTCAATCCATAGACAGATTTTGAGTACAATTACTTTTGTAATACATCTAATTTTATTAGTGTTGGACAGATTTGTATGTTTCACTAAAAGCTTGCCACATTTCATATGGATCTACCTGGAAAATTCTGAATTATAGTTAATGTTCCTTCTCCAGTATGGGGTCAGTCCATTGAAGTGACCCCCTGCACATTCAGTTAGGTTATGTCTCCATGAAGAATATTGTAGTCACAGCTTTTTAAACCTCTGGTTATAAACCCTCATTCTAAACCTGGCCTGGCATGGCCAGGTGGTTAGGGCACTCGACTCCCAATCTGAGGGTCGCAGGTTCGAATCCTTGTCCCATCAAACATGCTCGCCCTTTCACCCGTGGTGGCGTTATAATGTGACGGTCAATCTCACTATTCGTTGGTAAAAGAGTTGGCAGTGGGTGGTGATGACTAGCTGCCTTCCCTCTAGTCTTACACTTCAAAACAAACAAGCATCCTAAACCTGGTATATTGATGAATCTTATGACAGGCAAAGTATTGCTGATCCAACAGTACAATAGTAATAAACAATATTAAATATAATTACCATGTCTAAGGAATAAATTTACACTAATCAGTATGTCTTCAATCTGTTTGTAGTGTTCCATGAATGTTAATTTCTAACACACCCTAATAACATACTAAGAAGTTTTATGATAACAGTTTATCTTAATTTGGATGTAAGTTAAATGAATAATAAGCGTGAAATTATATGTATTAATAAATGTTCTAGTTTATTTTCTGATATACTACCATATTTAGTTAATAGTTAGTACACTTGTAATTAAAACATTAAATCTCCATGTAATGGCTCAGTCATTTCGACTGACTTTTTAGGCACCATGTAATCATAAAACTATACATACTATTAACTTTTAATGTACCAAGTGTATCTTCCCAAAGTTTTACAAGCTTTAAATAAACATTAAAAGTCACAAAAATCAGATTTTTGAATTACATATTTTTACTAAAGTAAAAGTGACTCAAACTGTGATTAGTCTGAGTGTAAGTTGATTTTCATCATTTCATTTTAAGATTAAAAATACTTGTATTAATTTTTTTGTTTTCATGTTTCATTTGCATAACCTCTAGAACTTCCTAAGTGAATGTCAAAAAGTTTTTCAGGAAAAACTTATATTTTATCTGTTATTTTTTCTACCCTAACATTATGCAGACTCAGTCCATTTTACTGACCTTGTAACCACCACAAAAGATATATAAAAACCCTTTTTTATTTCTAGAATGACTAAGGATTGTAACAGAAATTACTGTTATTTATCCTAAGTAGCCTCAGGCTCATAACAGTTTACACCTGTTCTTATTCAATTTCAATGATTTACTGCATTTTGAACAATGTCTAACTTCTAGACATGTGTAACAAAGCTATAAATGCCCATTGAGCAAATAGCTGAAGTTACAGCAAGTTATATATAACACATGCAGTTCATTTGCATATCTCACTGAGAAACTTTATTTGATTATTTTGTCCTTTATGTTTTCTTATCTAACCTAATAAGTTTCTGATTTTTGCATTCCATTAATTTTTATAACAATAAAATAAAAATATATACAAAAACAAGAAATTTAGCCCTTATGCATGTGGCTCTTGTATATTTTTGCAGTAAAAGTCTAACAAAAGTTAACCATAATTTTTTGTTAGGGTTATTTTAAGTACTTTACTGACTTTTTATTTATTTCAAATATTGAATTTAGAACAAAAAATAATTATACACAAAAACAAAACAATGTCCTATAACTATTATAATTTAACTGGCTTTGTAATTAAGGCTTAAGAACATTAAAATATTTCCCCTACTTAGTTGAGGCAAACTCAGGAATAGTATCTTTGAATCTATAACCCAAATAATTCAAAAGCTATCATAATAACAAGCTAGTCTATTATGTACTTGAGTAAATTAAAATCATCTCTTTCTATTGGTTATAGATAATGTGTTAGCAAACATCAGAGAATTATTGATATCTTTTAAAAGACAGTATGTGATAGAAGGGCATGGCATGTGGGTTTCACTTTCTGGTTTATATCTATGTAAATCAAGGTGCTTGGAGGCTATGTAATTAGATTATGTTTTAGCAATATATGTATATTATAAGTTTGTAATTTGTATTACAACAAAGAAGCTCCATTAGGGGTGGAAAGAATATTTAAATTGGACAATTCAGACTGAACAAGTGTCATGTGATACAGAGAAGATTGATAATTTATTTGAATATATCCTTTTGAAATTATGAAATTAAAACTTATATAATGTTAAAAGTTGATTTATTAAGTATGTATTTATGCTAAATTTGTTTATACACATTTGATAATAAATTTCATTCACTTTCAAATGTAACTTTCTAAAAAGGCTGTGACATATGCACTTTTACCTACCTCTATCCAGAGAATTAAACAAAAAATTCATAATTCTGAGATACCTCACCTCTTCACACAGAATAGCTATATTTCTTGCATATCTGCCTAAAAGACTTGCATGCCACTAGCTTTGAGCTAACTACCACCCATATTCAAGTGTTTAATGTGAACTGCACTGGTGCATGATGATGTCAACATGCAACATTAGCCCTCCACCAATAGGAGGATGACACAACCTCCATGTGCACTCCTCCCAAGCACTTGCACTCAAGATAACTACATTCTTTTCCTTGGCATTACACTGAATGGGCATATTAATTTTTCTTGTGTACATTCAATTATTAACTGAGTTTTGCAATCATAAACGAAACTTTAGTTTTAGTTTTACATTGGCTTTTGTTCAAAAGCATTGAATTATTTATGAATTGTCAAGAGACAGTGACTCCTACTTTATTCTGTGAAAGTGGCCAAGTTACAAACACAAGACCTGTTTCTACAGTGGCTTCTGGAGGCTCATTAACTGTTGAGTATATTACAGCCATTGCACAGCATGTTATGGGGTCTCTCATGCATACTGGCCAATTCCCTCAGTTTGAGAATGTCCAGTTTTGTCTTTTTTTCTCACTACCACCCAACATTACCTCTCCTCCCCACACCTTTGTCTTAGGTGCTTCATTATGTTCCAGAGGGGTATTTTTATGAGATTTATTCTCTTCTCTGTACTAAATTGGCCCATACCACTTCTTTGGCTCTGTCTTTTTGGCCAACTTAACCTTGGTTTCCTCTACTTCTTCATTTAATGTCCAGACAAGTCTTGATTCTACCCACATCCATATTTCATTCAGTGATATAATCCCTACATCTTCACGTGTAGGATTTGTCCAGTCCACCACTCTTTGGGCTGGACTCTCCAATCACATGGCTGCCTTCTTTTCCCATTCCTGTCTTAGTTTCCACTTTGCCTGTTTATCAACATAAGTGGTAGATTTTTTGTCATTGGTCCATCTGCCACTTCCTTCCTCCTGGCCATTCTACTCTGATGCAACTTTCTGCCTTTTTTACTTGGCTGTTCATCCATAGTTTGTCAGTCTTCATCATTGCTGGCTATAAGGTGGTCTTATCTACTCTGTTTTGATCCTTCTTCACTGTCCACCTCATCCAGCTCCCATGTCTGAGTTGGACCTCAATGTGGTATTGCACATTCTCATTCATGCCCCATTTGAGCTGTTAGCTTCTTTCTCTTTGCACCACCTTTCTCTTAAGACTTATTTCCTCCTCCTTCTCACCTGTGGTCTCCATTGTACAGATATCTATATTCTTGATGCGTCTTGCAATCCCTTCTGCCACACTTATTTACTCCTCTACCCAGATCAGGCTTTTCTTCCTGAGACTTAAGCCACTCAGGAAGGTGACCATACATTCTCTCTTATCTCTCTCCTCTATGATTATTCACACCCATATCAGCTCCTATGTTCAATTTGGGCTGTTCAGTGTTACTTATCATGCACCTATCCCTTTTGGGACCCCATTAATGTTTGTTTCTACCCTGGGACCCCTTCTCTTCCAGGAACCTCTCCCCATCTAATGTTACTGGGTGGGCCCATCATCTCCTCCAGTTGGCATATTCTTCACTGGATGTTGATGTTTGTAAGTTATTTCATATCTCATCAGAGTCATTACCTGTCTCACTTTCATGCTTCTAATTTTGCTGGCCCTTGGATGAGATCTTCCAGGTGGGCATGTGGACAACTCACCATGTTTGTCATTCATTATCCTTCTCATCTGGCTATTTCATCTCCCACAGGATTTTGACTCCCCTTGGTCTTCATTCTTCAATTAGCCCACCATCTTTGAGATGGGTATGTTTCTTTTTCTCTCCCTTTCCATCTAATAGGATCCTGCCAGATGATTAGTGTTGCCTCCCAGGGTACGCTTAGTTTCTAAAATCTGTATTGGGACACAGGTAACAGAAAGTGCTTGAACCATTCACCCTAGCTTTACCAGTGTTTATTGTCGAGATGAGGTGTTCCACAAGACTACTAGAGGTATCCTAATGGTATACAATACAGTTACCAAATTGCTTGATCCAAAGTGTACCCATTCCATGGACTATCATAGAAAAAGACAACACCAGGTAAGTGACTGCCCACTTATTTGACTCATGCTTGCTGGCTTTTAAATGTAAGGTTTTGTGGTCATCCATTACACTGTTTCCAGTAAAAGATCTTTCCAGCAGGTGGACTGATTGAGATCTGAACACTTCTATGGGTCTCCCCAACACGTATTCTCCCCATCCTTTTCAAGGGGAGCACAGGAGACCCTTGCCACTTACCAGTTGCTAGTCATTGGAGTAGGGGACCTTGGAGAATTCCTCACTGGTTGGGCTTGGCATGATATGGTGAGAAGCATGGCAGTGATGACACTGTCCATATAGCATGGACAGTTAATGTGCCCTCCTTCTGCAGCCAGAGTCTGTCCATTAGAGTCAAAGAGAGCACACATCATAGAATCTGATTGTATCATAATCCACACTATACATATTAACTGACTTACTGCTTATGGGCGGGTGTTTTGTTGGCCATGTTTGAAATCTGCCCATTGCTGAAACACTTGGGGCTTCTTTTTCTCTCTCCCCTTTACATTTCTGGACAAAGAGTATACCCTGGATGAGATGAAATGTAGTCTCCCACTTTCCCATCAGGTACCTTCTAAAGGGATCTCATCAAGGTTTAACTTTTGAACTTGCCCCTCCACCAGTTCAACATGGGATTCTAGCCACACATTCCCACCAGACCTCCCCTGTTCTGGTGCACCTTTTTTTCTTGCCTCATCTAAGAATGAGATTATTTTGAGGAGTTACTGCATGTGGAGGTTGTGTTGCACTTCTTTTGATGGAGGGATATTGTTTCATGATGACATCATCATGCACCAGCACAGTTCACATTAAACATATGAACTTAGGTGGATGTTAGCTCAAGGCTAATGGCATGCAAGTCTCTTAGGCAGATGTGCAAAAAATATATAGAGGTGAGTATCTATTGGAAGTACATTTTCTGAATAGGAAAAATATTAACTTTTACTGGAGTGGCACATCCTTAAAATGTTGTATTGAGTCATTTTCGTAGTTTATTATTTCACTCCCATACAGCACTAACATATGAGGTGTTAGTAGTAATTATGAAGGTTTTGCACATAACTCCATCATACTTTGCTATTCTTTTGTATCCACTAAAATTTCTGTAACTATTCCAAGGTGTTTCTAGGTATATAAAGGCCAAAAATGATGAAATTCCAGTATCTTATAATATTTGTAGTTTTTGATTAATTGATATTTATCACAAGACTCTAATATTTAAAAATTAATACTTGCACAGTTAAGAACTTTGGGAAAATGTTGGATAGAAGGTTAGGCTATATAAGCAAGTTAGTCACAAAGAAAGGAGGCTGATTTCATGAGCTTTTTGTTTTGTAATACTGGTGAAATTCTGAATGATTGGATAACTGGTGAATAAGTTCCTTTTTGTAAATTTCTTGACTTAGCATTGTATTAAATAGACACTGTTTAAGTAATTAACAATGAGTTTTGGAAACTTTTAGTAAATTGAACTTTAATGTAGAGGCAGTTGAAGATATTTGTGGAATGAAAGCTATATGTGATTTACCAAAATGTATGCTTAACATTTTATTTTCATTTTTACATTTCTTTCAAGGATGAATAACAGATATTCTCAGATTGTTTGTAGAATCACTTCTAAAGGTTTTATCTACTCCATGATGATGAATATTCAATATAGTTGTTTCTATTTACTTTATTATCTTTACTTGTTTCCTGTAGAAAAGAAAGTAAGTTATTTCTTTACTGCGGAATGATAAAGTTTAGTGGTTTATTCTGGACAAGATTACAAAATGAAATTGTGGAAATTTTTAAAACTTATAAGATGTAAACACTGAAGAAAGGATAAAAAATTGTCCTAACTTTGTAAAAACATTGGGTCCAGAAAATCTGAGTAAAGAATAAACTGCCTTCAACCAAAGGTTTGTTTGCTACTTGCTTTGTCATTCCATCCTTAGGTTACTTATTCATTATTCACTCTTCTTTTCATAGGTATCTTAAAGAATATGATTACTATGAGCGATGTCTTCGAGAGCGAGAGTGGCAAGAAAATCCGCCCAAAGCTCTCAAACGGCATAGAAACAGCAATGGGAGCAGTGGGTGTCTTTGTTTTTCTGGAAAAAGTCGTAGAGATGAATCTAAACGTGAGTATCGCACAGTGTAGAAACTTCAAGTGTTTTCCTCATGAAAAACGAAACCCTCAAGACCTGTAATGGACGTGGAAAGATGTTCTTGAATATCAGTTTTTTTTTGCCATTTCTTTTGACTTTTATAATGGAGAATTCTACACCTTATTTTTTTGTTGGTGGCAATTCCCTCACTGAATAATATGCTTGATTCAGCAGTACTGGTGAGAAATGTGAAATGTGTAATAATGTAACATGCTTGTGCAACTGATGACTGTCAGCATTTCAAAAACATTTTTTTAACATAAAAAAGTAAAAATATATATATATTTTAGAAATGGCTTTTAAAGACTGTTTTAGATATCTGTTTGTAGTAGAATGTCCAGATTGTACCATTTAAAAAACTAATTGCACAAAATTTCTGAAAGAAAACAATCACGAACAAAACCAGCTTAAGACAGTAATATTAAATGTGACCTTTAGAAGAAATTAAATCCTGAAATCTGAATACACATGTAATTTGACAAAATTAAAACTATAGTACATGAGAACACACATTTCATTTCAAAGATGTGACAATTACAAACCTTTTTCTTCACTAAAGTCAACAAATACATAGTTGGTTTCAAAGATGTAACAGTTAACAACCTGTCTTTTTTCCAACCAAGTTAGAACAGTCAACTAACAAACATACAGTTGGCTACAAAGATGTAACAAATTACAAATTTAGCTGTTTTTATTTTTCACCCAGATTACAATGCTAATAAACCAATAAGTACATAACTGGTTTGTAAGATGTAATAAATACCAAACTATCTTTTTTAACCCATTTAGAACACTAAACAACAAACTGGTTTCCGAAATGTAACAATTACCAAAATATTTTTCCTTCACTCAAATTGAACACTAAACCAACAAATACATAGTTCCAGAAAAGTAATGGTTACCAAACTCTTTTTTTTTTTTTCATCAAACATTATAATGGTAAACCAACAAGCATGCAGTTGTTTCAAAGAGGTAGCAAATTACCAGTTTGTCTTTCTTCACACACACACATAGTAAAACAATCATTCTAAAAGCATACAGTTGGTTTGAAAGATGTAACAAATTCCAAGCTCCCTTTCTTCATTCAACTTACAAAAAGTCGGACTACAAACATACAGTTTGTTTTTAAATTAACTAACAGTTATCACCCTTGATTTTTGTAATTGGACAAGAACATTCAACCAATAGAAACTTGGTAAAACTTGAACTACTAGGGTAGTATAGTAGACAGTGTTGTAAATTATAGTTAATTGTTGTAATGCTGCAAACAATTGCAAATAAAAAAAATGTTTGTGGTAATAATCAATTGTAAATTTAAAAGATTTTTGTGGTCTTGAAAACCTAAGTGTAAGAAGAAAATGATGAAGCTTCTTTTCTACTCATTACTGGAAGCTTTTTAACCTGTGTTATGGGTAATGTGACTTTGTATTGTGTAGCTTTAGTGATGGTGTGGGTTTTCTTGTAGCAGTATTGTGCCATTTATTGACCATAACATTTTGTGCTCAATTGCTCATTAAATTCTAAACTTGTTTGGAAAATATGACAAAGGCTTTTTGATGCAGAAAAGTCTACCATAATTTTTTTTTATATCATTATTATTATTTTTGTATAATAATTGTAACAAGTGTATACTGAAATTGTGATTGTTTGTCTGTCATTGATGTTGATACTATTTGGTTATTATCCTTAATAGATGAACAGAATTATTTTCACATCAATTAACCCAAAAAGAAAAAAAAAATTGTTAAGTAAATTTTAATATGAAAAATACCAAAGTCCTCTTAGTTCTTTACTGGCTCATGTTTTTATAAAAAGTTTTTTGGTGTGTTACTAGAATTTTAATTACATATTGGAGAAGATTTTTCTTGTTAATTGACATTCTTATATTATTTAAATTGTAACCAAATGTATAATTCTACTTTATATGATATATTTTTTTCACTCTGAAGAATGTCCTCTAATCTAAACACAAACAGCATTTTTTATCGTTTTTAAAATTTTGGGACTAAGAAACAGTGGTTATGATCACACTAAAGCCATTAAGGGGTTTTCATTTCCCTGGAAGTGTTTTTCAATGGGAAAACGTAGAAGCTAGTCATTATATGCTTGTTACCTCTCAATCTCAATTATGACTCAAACATAAATGTACAAGATATTTTACATTATGATAAAATGTCTCGCTTTTTTTTTTTTTTTAAATTAAAAGTAACTTTCTCAGATGTATTTATATTTGCAGCTGTTTAAAATTCCAGTTTTTAAAATAACGTAACTCTAAAAGACGTTAAACTATATTATTTTATCAGCGTGGGGTTCAAAAGAATATTTTTCCTACAACAGCATAACTTTATGTTGAATCTGTTTTGAAAAACTACAAGCTATTTTGAGAAAGTTAGCAGTAGCACATTGTTTAGGGAGAATTGTAGATTAAACTTGGTGCTTTCAAAAGAACACACATTAAAATCATACCATGATCATCACAAAGTTACTGTTGCTATTCACAAGATCTTCACGTCTGTTGTAGTGATTTCACTTTTTCTATTGTCATATATTCAATTTCTAAGCAACATTATACTGTTTGTCATATCACCATGTTTCTAGTTTGTTTTAGGTCACTTTAAAATAATGTCGTTCCTTGCTTATGAATATTTTTAGGTATTAAGCATAAATATACATTAAGGACCATGATATAAGCATACATAGCTACAAATGCATCTTTTATAATTGTATAAAAATACTTAAAATATATTCCCACTCCTTGATTTAGAAAAACCTGAAGAAAGTATATTCAGTTAATTGATGCAACGAAGCATCCAGGAGTAGTTATAATTTTTGCCCAGATTTGTATTTCAATCTCCTTACAGAAAATATCACACCTATACTGACACAATTTTATGTAGAACTGAAAATAAAACTTACTCCCTGTATTTCATATACCATTTTATGAAAGCTTTATTACTATTGTGATGTGGTTCCATGTATTGTGCTTTGTTCATGTTGACTTATTTTAAAATAACATAGATTTCAAAGTTATGGTTTGAGAAGTATAGTGGAAAATTATCTTAAAAAGAATTAGCCTTTTATGAAGTCATGGTCAGAAAATTCACCATTTACCTAGTAATAACACTTAATTTTTCTAAACAAGTAACTTGTTTCAATAATTACATCAAGCATCACCTTGTATGGGTCTCATTTTTTACTTTAATAACTGTAATTCCTATGAAGTCTTGCCACTAAGTGGCTTTGCTTGGAAACAGTAACCACTAGAGCCATGTTAGTTTAGTGTTAGTGGTTGTATAATAAGTTTTCATATTTTCCACCTTTGTGGTTTTTGCATTTGAAAGTTTCTGCTTGTTAATATTTAATGTAATGATTATTGTAATGAAGGCTCTATTTAATCTTTAGTCCTATAAAATTGAGTGGTGTGTGTTAGCTTTGTTTTAAGTTCAAGTTCCAGTCAGTGCTGTATTTAACTTCTTTTTTTTGCGAGATTTTCTTTATTGATTTAATAATTCTACCATTAGCTGTGATGGTTTTAACACTTGGGCTCTAAGTTACACCAAGTGATGTTGCTGTATTTTGTACTGAACCGTGTGTGGTGTGGAGCACAAACCTGCCAGGGTTGATATGGCTGGACCATCCCACCCGGCAACACTTGTGTACTACATTGCTGAGTATTTTTTGTGACAATAAATGGCTTTTTAAGCAAATTTAATGTAATTTTATAATGTATTTGTGTGGTATTTATTTAATATTGATTTTGAATTATAAAGAAGTACTACTTCAATATGTGTTAGTGCCAAACATATTGTTACGTCTCCGTTTGTTAATTAATTTTCCATAACTTTGTTCCGACGAAACTTTAGCGACACCAGTCCTTACTTAATAAAACTGGTTTATTCTTTCTGAATATGACTTTACGATACACTTGATTTCAACATTCGCGCTAAAACAAACGCTATAATGAACGTTAACTTCAACAATATTTTTTTACTGCAGATCAATTACTCACTA